GTCGGCGGGTGGAAGCGTTACCCGGAGGGAGCTGGTTGGGTGTTCCCATGTGATTGCGTTTGAGACGGCTCCCAGCTGATGGGCGTCTTCTGCAGAGGCTGCCAGCTCCCTCCTGATGCCATCGAGGTGGTCTCCAGGATGGCGTCTGCACCCGTGTTCAACACAGGGGCAAGAGGACTTGGGCTTTGTCACCTCCCAGCTGATGGAGTCCTCAGCAGGAGGTGATACGGGGAAGGAGGTGGCATGTCCCATGTTGGCCAGGACAGCCACCCGGGACCACAGAAGCTGGCGGGGGAAGCATCCCCAGTTCCTTTGCGGAGCACAAACCCCCCCTGCACCGAGAGAGGTGTAACAAGGCGCTTCGCAACCACGGTGCTGTGCAGCCGAGGTTCGGTTTACAGAGGCAAAGGGGCTCTCATATGAAACAACCCCAATTAACCTGCACTGAATTCCCAGCCCTTCTTTTTTGATGCTTGGGGGGAGAGGAGCAGGACCTGGAGACCTGAGGAGAGGGTTTGGGCTCTTCGTGGAAGGCTCTAAAAACTGCTGGGGCCAGAGGGGGTCCGGGGAACCAGCGGGGTCCGTCTTCCCCTGGTCTCCAGCTCAAGCCCTACAATGAGAGCTCGCCGTGACCCGAAGCAAGAAGATAATGATTTTATTCCAGTAAATTGTTTTTTAAAAGGACAACTCCACCAACACGAAAACTGTTCAGATGCTCAGGGTATGGTTCAGGCTTGGAGCTGGGTGGTTTTGCTCCAGTCTGGGGAACAGCTGGCTTTGCAGCCTTTTGGGTGAATTTGAGCACATTGTGGAGAACGGTGTCCGTGGTGGGACCTCACCCCTGAGAACTGGAGGATGCCTTCGTAATGCACGAGCACACGTGCGTGTGTGTGTGCGCAGGGCCGGGAAGCCGAGGATGATCTTCTCCCTCTCAGGCACGCTGGGATTATTACACGCAAAACCTCCGGAGAAATGGTTTTCATACATTTTAAAGAATGATCGGCCATATGAGGAGGTGTGTTTGCTAAATTTAACTGAGGTAATTCAAACACGGTGAAGGTAAAGAATGATCGGCCATATGAGGAGGTGTGCTTGCTAAATTTAACTGAGGTAATTCGAACACGGCGAAGGCTTTGGGATTCCGGTTGTGGAGCTTAGGTATGGTAGCGAACATCATGTACACACCACGATCACACACCGAGTAACAGGACCTGGACCCCATCGACGGCAGGCGGAGCAGTGGGGCAGTGGGTCTCGTTTCAGGAGCTCTCTGCGAGGGAGATGCGATATTCGGTGCTGTTCTAGGGCAAAGAGGCACATTCAGCCCCAGAGCAGCTCTCCTGAAGCCCGCGATGGTGCATCAGGCAGGGATGTTGCTAATACATGTGGCCAGCAAGTCGAGGGAGGGGATTCTGCCCCTTTACTCTGCTCTCATGAGACCCCACCTGGAGTCCTGCGTCCAGCTCTGGAGCCCCCAACATAGGAAGGACATGGATGTGTTGGAGCGGGTCCAGAGGAGGCCATGAAGATGATCCAAGGGCTGGAGCACCTTTCCTCCAAGGGAGCTGGGGCTGTTCAGCCTGGAGAGGAGAAGGCTCTGGGGTGACCTTAGAGCAGCTGCCAGTACCTGAAGGGGCCAACAGGAAGGATGGAGAGGGGCTTTTCACAAGGGTGTGCAG